GGTCCATCATGCACTAAACAGGCGTTTGGAAGGTACAGCTTTATCTGATGAAGTCAAGGCTTCTATTTCCCAGCTTAGACAGCAGACTGATGCAAAAGATGAGGAACTTGCGGAAGCGTATAGCAAACTGGAAAGCAATGCAGAGCTGAAACACCTTGTTGATACTCTCTTCGAAAAGAATATCATGATGCACCACAAGCACAGTACTGGATATCTTTTATGGAAATAGTGGAAGTTCTCACCCAAAACATCCATGCTCTACGAACAAGGAACTGGACCGAGTTCAAATCTTCACTGAAGCTCATGCTGCCATGGATGGTGGCTTATGACAACACCAAGTATGGTCGACATCTCCCTGATTTTAGTGCAGTACTTGACAACCTTCCTGACGAACAGGCTTCTTTCATGGAGAGTGGGTTTTTCACTCAGTCAATGACAGGCAAGCCATATTCCTCTCTGGCTCTAGACATCTGGATCGAGTCTACAATGAATAAGGGTTCAAAGCTAAAGTCTAGCTGGATGGTCATCTTGAACAATGAAAAGCAGCTCCTGTCAAATACACGGAATGTGAATAACATCTATCGAGTCAGGGCAAGTGTCCATCGCCATGCTGATATGAAGAAACAGCAGAGACCGAAGCATGCAGATGCTTCATCAAGTCGAATGAAGAAGGATGAAAAAGCCGTCCAGGACATCAGTGCATGTTTCACAGAGTTTGACTGTGATCCCTTTGATCACACAAACCAAACCCTTCGGTCTCTGCAGTCAGGAATGCAGGCTTCAGAAAAGCTGGCTGATGATTTGATATCAGCAAAGGAAGATGGTGAACATAAGGTGAAAGACTTCATGAAAGAGAGATTGTATTCTAAAAAGAAATCTCTGAATGACCGTATCCCCCTCAACAAGCACCAAAACTTTGCAAATCAAGAACTGAAGACAGTAAATGAAGATAACTTCAAAGAGAAAACTGGAGAAATGGAATCTAAAGCATTGGCCTCTGTCCTTGGGCATGTTGAAAACAGTGGTGCCCTCAAACTTGAAGATGTGTTGCAGCATCGTGCCTTCCAATCTTCAATGTTAATGGAACCATGCGAAAGGTCCAGAAAAGTAAACTCCAGGAGAAACTTACTATGACCCCTGTTCCCGAACCTGATGTGTATACCTCTATTGTTGATATGGGTCTCATCTGGCACCTGGCTACTCCAACCACTGAAGACAGAGAAAAGGGTGATGGCACAAAGTACAGATGGGGAGACTATGCGGATAAGGTTGTGCACACTGTTTTTACAAGGCACAAGCATGCTGAGGGTATCATTTGCATCAATGGCAAATATGATCAGAATTCAATCAAAGACAGTGAGCGTATCCTGCGCCAAAATGCTAAACCAGTCAGCAATGTGTTCATGAAGTCTGAGGAAAAATTTCCTTCAAAGAAACATTTCCACTCTCTCTTGTATAATCCTAGCAACAAGATTCGCTTGCAGGTATTTTTGCAAACTGCATTCCAGAAAGCTGCTGCTTCAACTAATGTGGAAATCATTTACTGTGTAGTAGGTGGCAGTCCAAAGAATCTTACCACAGGTAAGCTTATGCCAGAGTTAACATGTTTCCAAGCAGAGGCAGACACCGCCATATTTACCACATATAGTATGCTTCGGTCTGAGGGCTACACAGAGGCTGTTGTCATTGACACTGAAGATACTGACAACTATGTACAGGCTGCATATGTTGCTAAAAAAAACCAGGCCTGATGTGTATCAAAAAGAAACACCAACTGATCTCTGCTAGATGCTTGTGTGACGAGGAAATGGCAGAATGCATTATACCAATTCATGTGCTTACTGGACGTGACCATAACTCTGGTTTCTATGGGATTAGCAAGAAGAGTATTGTACATCGCACCCAGCCATCTGAAGAAGCACAGAACCTGTTAACAAGTTGTGGTAGAGAACTTCCAGTCACACAAGAAGTCATAGAGGACTTGGAACGATTTGTAATTCGTTATGTCTATTGTGATTCCAAAAGTTCAAGTTTGGGAGAAGTCAGGGCATCCAAGTGGAGAGCACAAAAGAAAAAAAGCACCATCAGACTTGCACCTGATTCGGACAGTCTCCGTCATCACTTGGAATGGGCAAACTACTTGGCATATTTGCAAAAGCATTTTGATCTCCAGAGTCACCCCTCTCCAATAGGTCATGGTTGGCATTGTGATGCCGGCCTTTACCTGCCTGATCGTTACACACAGCCTGCTTTACCTTCAACAATTACCTTACCTGCAATCTCACCAGCAGACGATAATGACAGTGATCTTTCTAGTGATTCTGATGACGGCAGTGATGAGAGCTCATGCAATGACTCATGCAGTGAATAATTGTAAAGAGTTTCCAAAGCATCTTTTTAGTTGCGTTATGTAGTTCTTAGTACAGTATTACCTCCTCATATAATTATAATAATTTCAAACACCCAAATAATTTCACATATGGTGTCCATTTTGAATATTGAGATAAATATGATCCCAAGGATATAATTAACCATTCCAATAGTTTTATCATGTTAAAATTAGTTAGATAAGACACCTCATTTGTTCTTGTAGCCCATCTAGTATTCGAGATATGTTATTTTCTGTTTTTCAAGATGGCAGCCGTCAGTCATCTTGGAATTCAAGGTCATAGTTGCTTCTAATGTAAAAAATAACAATTCCAAAGGATTTATCACGTTCAAATTAGTGGAATTAGACACCTTATATGTGTCTGTGGCTGATATTCTTCCATAGATATACTATTTCATGCTATTCAAAATGGCGTTGACGGCCATTTTGAATTTTGCGTCATTTTCCAGAGGGTCATGGGGGCAATTTTTTTAGTTAAACATGTCAGTTAAACGAATCCATCATAAAAAAAAGGTAGGAATAAAGTGGTCACGGATTCCAGGGATATGACTCTACTATTATGTCTATATCTCTTTCATCCATGTTTCTGTTATGCCAATGAAGTCAAATGAAGTCAAATAATCGGTAAAGTCCCGATCAGTTAATTTAGAATTAAGTCCTGATTCATTCCAGAAAACAAATGTTCCATTCTCAAATTTACAATCATCGACATCATCTGTCGTATCTACGTGAGGCGTCCTACAATCTCGTCACACCCCTAGTGGGTTGCTGTCCTGTCCCAGGCCTTAGAGCAAGAACTCAGAAGTCGTGGTCCTGTATGTGATTGGGTGTCAAAAAGCCTGAGTTCAAGATTACTTGAATAATAATGGAATTTGACGAATCTTACTATACATGTTCTCTAAGTCCCTCCTTGGGGTTACGGACGCATTAGCTTTTAGGCGATCTTCAGGTCAATTTGGAGATGAATAGAAATGGGGTTTATTGCACTTGTATAGCAGTGTGCATGCACACCTGTGTGGGTGGGTGCATGTGTGCATGCATCGGTGCAGTTTAAAATGAATACCCCACTCAGACACAGTACATCAACTCCAAGCCGACCAGTCGTTTTTTTAGCCCTTTAATGCCAAGCGCCAGGCAAGGTAACAACAAGTACCATATTATAACATCTTTTGGTATGACACAGCCAGGTATCGAACCCCCAACCTTCCGCTCTCCAGGCAGACACTCTAGCCACTAGACCATGGAGGCAGTACATCATATTAAATATGGTACAAATGTCATGAAATTTCAGATTAATTCATGAAAAATCATGGATTTTTCCAATAAGTAACATGAACTCACAGTGATGAGCTCAACACATATCACATGTCATGATTGTTTCAAATGACAAGGTTGTTTTGGAGGTCATACACATGAAATGGCTGGTAAATAGTTTCATTTTATTCAGGAAGTACTGTATTGTTAGTATGGTATGGACATTTCATATTTGTAACATAACCATAGTTTGCAACAAGTAATGCTCTCGCAAGTTTTTTGTTTGTTTGTTTGTTTGTTGTTTAATGCTGCACACACCAATATTCCAGTCATATGACAGCATTAATTCACAGGCAATGAAGCCATATATATAGTAAGGATCATAAAGTTTGAACAAGCAGATTGGATACTAATTAAGATAGTTGAACAAGCTGATTGAACATTAATTCAAATTGCTTGATTAGCTCCTCATATGATCTCTGTTGATCAAAGGTTTATTATGGTAGATTTCTATGGCTTCTGAGCATTTTCTTTTTGTGAAGTCCTCATGTTTGGGAGAGAGGATTTGGACACCTGATGTTTGGTAGAGAAGATTTGGACGTGTTCAATCAACTTGATACTGGTGTAAGAATCTACATTGAAACATCACTAAATGCAATAAACCAGAAGTTGTTATCCATAAAGTTATATGTTTCCTTTTTTAATCAAAAACTTCTAGAATGCCAATCAAACAGTCAGAGAGAAGTAGACGTCACAAAACACTTGTGTATACACATTACCTTGGGCAGTTATTATTGGAACTTGATAAACATGATCTCTCTCCAGTTCATGGTTGTTTGAAGGTTTTATGATTTCTTATTAAGATAATCAGCTGAAATGGTATACCATGCTAAACCATGCTAAAAGGTGGTCACTTTCATTTCTTACCATGGTCAATGGAAACCATGGTAGACCATGGTCCTTGAAGATTTTGCCATGGTCATCTTAGACAAATCCATGGAAGACCATGGTCATCTAAGACATTGCCATGGAAGACCATGGTCATCTTAGACATATAAGGCCATTCTCTTTAAAAAATGTACTGCTTTGGCAACATTTTTCCCTAACCCCAAAGAAATGTTATTAAACCAGGATTGCTCATAACTTTGTTATTGAGACATAGGCTTTTCTCTTTGAAAAGTTGTTATTCATTTGGTCAACTGTCACCTGATGTGGCTCATGATACATTCAGAATGAAAAGTGTTTCAGGTTCAGAAAAAGAATGAGGAGAGGCTGCTTCTGTGTTTACATGTAATGCTAACACTTTTCCAGTTTACAGTTAGAAACAGCTTGATCAACTAAACCATTACTGTTGTAGGAATTTGACCACAGCTTCTACAGAGATCGTGACATACTTTGGTCTATGACGAATGTCCCACTGTTGACAAGGTACACATTTAGTCTTCAAAATAAAGCTGAAAGAGACATCATCGAAGATATAGTTTCTGCCTTCAACACAGAAGTAGTAAGCAAGTATGAGCAACTGCCAAAGGGTATGTATGTTAGTTCTGAAATAATTATATAGTCCTTTCATTGAAATAATATTGTTACACAGTGGAAGGCGACAATCACGTGTCTACCTTCTGTCCTTCTAACTCCACATAAAATCATACAATTAATGAGGAATAAACGTGATTCTTTTATGATGACATAGATGTGGAACTAAAAGTCATTCTCTTATGATGACATACATGGAGAACTAAACATTATTCTCTTATCACGACATCTATTGAGAACTAAACATGATTCTCTTATGACATATATGAAGAACTAAACATGATACTCTTATCATGACATATATGAAGAACTAAACGTGATTTTCTTATCACGACATCTATGGAGAACTAAACGTGATTCTCTTATCATGACATCTATGGAGAACTAAACATGATTCTCTTATCATGACATCTATGGGGAACTAAACATGATTCTCCTACCATGACATATATGGAGAACTAAACATGATTCGCTTATCATGACATATATGAAGAACTAAACGTGATTTTCTTATCACGACATCTATGGAGAGCTAAACGTGATTCTCTTATCATGACATCTATGGAGAACTAAACATGATTCTCTTATCATGACATCTATGGAGAACTGACCATGATTCTCTTGTGACACATATAGAGAACAAAACATGATTCTCTTATCATGACATATATGAAGAACTAAACGTGATTTTCTTATCATGACATCTATGGAGAACTAAACATGATTCTCTTATCATGACATCCATGGGGAACTAAACATGATTCTCTTATCATGACATATATGGAACTCTAAACATGATTCTCTTATCATGACATATATGGTGAACTAAACATGATTCTCTTATCACGACATCTATGGAGAACTGACCATGATTCTCTTATCACGACATCTATGGAGAACTGACCATGATTCTCTTGTGACACATATAGAGAACAAAACATGATTCTCTCATCATGACATCTCTGGAGAACTAAACATGATTCTCTTATCATGACATATATGAAGAACTTAACGTGATTCTCTTATGACATCAATGAAGAACTAAACATGATTCTCTTATCATGAAATATATGAAGAACTAAACGTGATTTTCTTATCATCACATCTATGGAGAACTAAACATGATTCTCTTATCATGACATCCATGGGGAACTAAACATGATTCTCTTATCATGACATCTATCGAGAACTAAACATGATTCTCTCATCATGACATCTATGGAGAACTAAACATGATTCTCTTACCACGACATATATGGAGAACTAAACATGATTCTCTTATCATGACATCTATGGAGAACTAAACATGATTCTCTTATGACATCAATGAAGAACTAAACATGATTCTCTTATCATGAAATATATGAAGAACTCAACATGATTCTCTCATCATGACATCTATGGAGAACTGACCATGATTCTCTTATCACGACATCTATGGAGAACTGACCATGATTCTCTTGTGACACATAAAGAGAACAAAACATGATTCTCTTATCATGACATATATGAAGAACTAAATGTGATTTTTTTATCATGACATCTCTGGAGAACTAAACATGATTCTCTTATCATGACATCCATGGGGAACTAAACATGATTCTCTTATCATGACATATATGGAACTCTAAACATGATTCTCTTATCATGACATATATGGTGAACTAAACATGATTCTCTTATCATGACATCTATGGAGAACTATTCATGATTCTCTTATCATGACATCTATGGAGAACTAAACATGATTCTCTTATCATGACATCTATCGAGAACTAAACATGATTCTCTCATCATGACATCTATGGAGAACTAAACATGATTCTCTTACCACGACATATATGGAGAACTAAACATGATTCTCTTATCATGACATCTATGGAGAACTAAACATGATTCTCTTTTGACATCAATGAAGAACTAAACATGATTCTCTTTTGACATCAATGAAGAACTCAACATGATTCTCTTATCATGAAATATATGGAGAACTAAACATGATTCTCTCATCATGACATCTATGGAGAACTAAACATGATTCTCTCATCATGACATCTATGAAGAACTAAACATGATTCTCTTACCATGACATTTATGAAGAACTTAATATGATTCTCTTATCACGACATCTATGAAGAGCTAAACATGATTCTCTTATCACGACATCTATGGAGAACTGACCATGATTCTCTTGTGACACATATAGAGAACAAAACATGATTCTCTCATCATGACATCTCTGGAGAACTAAACATGATTCTCTTATCATGACATATATGAAGAACTAAACATGATTTTCTTATCACGACATCTATGGAGAGCTAAACGTGATTCTCTTATCATGACATCTATGGAGAACTAAACATGATTCTCTTATCATGACATCTCTGGAGAACTAAACCTGATTCTCGTATCATGACATACAAGGAGAACTAAACATGATTCTCTTATCATGACATCTATTGAGAACTAAACATGATTTTCTTATGAAATATATCAAGAACTAAACATGATTATCTTATCATGAAATATATGAAGAACTAAACATGATTCTCTTATCATGACATCTATGGAGAACTAAACATGATTCTCTTATCATGACATCTATGGATAACTAAACATGATTCTCTTATCATGACATCTCTGGAGAACTAAACCTGATTCTCGTATCATGACATACAAGGAGAACTAAACATGATTCTCTTATCATGACATCTATTGAGAACTAAACATGATTTTCTTATGAAATATATCAAGAACTAAACATGATTCTCTTATCATGAAATATATGAAGAACTAAACATGATTCTCTTATCATGACATCTATGGAGAACTAAACATGATTCTCTTATCATGACATCTATGGAGAACTAAACATGATTCTCTTATCATGACATCTCTGGAGTACTAAACCTGATTCTCGTATCATGACATACAAGGAGAACTAAACATGATTCTCTTATCATGACATCTATTGAGAACTAAACATGATTTTCTTATGAAATATATCAAGAACTAAACATGATTCTCTTATCATGACATATATGAAGAACTAAACGTGATTTTCTTATCACGACATCTATGGAGAGCTAAACGTGATTCTCTAATCATGACATCTATGGAGAACTAAACATGATTCTCTTATCACCACATCTCTGGAGAACTAAACATGATTCTCGTATCATGACATACAAGGAGAACTAAACATGATTCTCTTATCATGACATCTATTGAGAACTAAACATGATTTTCTTATGAAATATATCAAGAACTAAACATGATTCTCTAATCATGACATATATTAAGAACTTAACGTGATTCTCTTATCATGAAATATATGAAGAACTAAACATGATTCTCTCATCATGACATCTATGGAGAACTAACATGATTCTCTTACCATGACATTTATGAAGAACTTAATATGATTGTCTTATCTTGACATCTATGAAGAAGTAAACATGATTCTCTTATCATGAAATATATGAAGAACTTAACATGATTCTCTTATCACGACATTTATGGAGAACTAAACATGATTCTCTTGTGACACATATAGAGAACAAAACATGATTCTCTCATCATGACATCTCTGGAGAACTAAACATGATTCTCTTATCATGACATATATGAAGAACTAAACGTGATTCTCTTATGACATCAATGAAGAACTAAACATGATTCTCTTATCATGAAATATATGAAGAACTAAACATGATTCTCTTATCATGACATCTATGGGGAACTAAACATGATTCTCTTATCATGACATATATGAAGAACTAAACATGATTTTCTTATCACAACATCTATGGAGAGCTAAACATGATTCTCTTATCATGACATCTATGGAGAACTAAACATGATTCTCTTATCATGACATCTATTGGGAACTAAACATGATTCTCTTATCATGACATATATGGAGAAATACACTTGATTCTCTAATGACATCTCTGGAGAACTAAACATGATTCTCGTATCATGACATCTCTGGAGAACTAAACATGATTCTCTTATCATGACATCTATTGAAAAATAAACATGATTCTCTTATGACATCTATCGAGAACTAAACATGATTCTCGTATCATGACATACATGGAGAACTAAACATGATTCTCTTATCATGACATCTATGGAGAACTAAACATGATTCTCTTATGACATATATGAAGAACTAAACATGATTCTCTTAAGATGACATATATGAAGAAATACACTTGATTCTCTAATGACATCTATTGAGAACTAAACATGATTCTCTTATCATGACATATATGGATAACTAAACATGATTCTCCTATAATGACATATATGAAGAACTAAACGTGATTTTCTTATCATGACATCTATGGAGAACTAAACATGATTCTCTTACCATGACATTTATGGAGAAATACACTTCATTCTCTAATGACATCTATTGAGAACTAAACATGATTCTCTTATCATGACAAATATGGAGAACTAAACATGATTCTCTTATCATGACATCTATGAAGAACTACTCAAGATTCTCTTATCTTGACATCTATGGAGAACTAAACATGGTTCTCTTATCATGACATCAATGAAGAACTAAACATGATTCTCTTATCACGACATCTATGGAGAACTAAACGTCATTCCCTTGTGACACATATAGAGAACAAAACATGATTCTCTCATCATGACATATATGAAGAACTAAACGTGATTCTCTCATGACATCAATGAAGAACTAAACATGATTCTCTTATCATGAAATATATGAAGAACTAAACATGATTCTCTTATCATGACATCTATGGAGAACTAAACATGATTCTCGTATCATGACATCTATGGAGAACTAAACATGTTTCTCTTATCATGACATATATGAAGAACTAAACGTGATTTTCTTATCACGACATCTATGGAGAGCTAAACGTGATTCTCTTATCATGACATCTATGGAGAACTAAACATGATTCTCTTATCATGACATCTATGGGGAACTAAACCTGATTCT